TCCAACCTGGGGCCACCCAAATCCATCCCACAGGTCCTGAGGAGATGCCAGCAGGCATCATGTCACCCTTTGCTCGAGCTCTGCTTTGCAGTCAGGCTTTTTAGGGTCTCTGAGACAAGAGGGAGAGGACTGTGTCTCTTTTCTGCTGCATCAGCATAGTTTTCTGCCCTTTCTGTTGTATCAGTGGAAGAAGGATCAGGCTGCACTGGGGAGACAGCGAAGACCACTTTGCTCTGTGCCATGTCTGGCCACCTGCCCTGTCTGGCACATGCATCGCTTCCCCAGCATCCTAATTACCATCCTCTATTCCAGGCACATCGCAGAGACACCTTTACAAACCCAGAGGAAGACCCTCCATGGACCAACTCCAGCCCTGAAATAGGTAAGTGGGAATGTCCACGCTGATTCATACCAGTCTGGTGGATTCCTCTCCTCTAGAACCTCATCTAACACCAGCTTCCCACCAGACAAAGAAAATCCATTCATTTCCAGGGTCATCTTACAGCCTCGATGCTGACCCCGGGGGTCCCTCACCAACCTTGGGTGCCAGCACCTAGTAATTTATACAATAGACACTGATGATTATTGACCATTAAAGAGTAATCAAACATCTCCTGTGTGAAATAGAAGTAGCCCAGGAGACGGAGGCGGTGAGGCGGTTGGTGCTGTGGCTGTAGCCGTTGAAAGCCTCACACTGCTCCTCGCGGAAGCTCTTCCCTGGTACTGGAAGAAACAGGGATGTGCATGGGATCAGGGACCTCCAGTGCCGGTTTTATGGGGTTGTTACTGGTCATGCACGCAACCACGAGCAAAGCCGAGCTCAGGCACCTTACCTGCAGCATGGCAGGGGTCCAGGTTGCAGGAGCGGTACTTGACACGGACGCCCTCGCAGTAGGAACCCCCGTTGGCAGGCACCGGGTCGGTGCACTCCCGCTTGGCCAGCTGCACCCCACCGCCGCACGTCCGCGAGCACTGCCCGTAGGCACCCCACTTCGCCCAGCCGCCGTCCACCTGCGGGGATGCGGTGGGATGAGATGCTGCATCCCCTTCGCTGGACCCGGAGCCATCCCTTCGCAAGCAAAACCTCTGCCAGCTGCCCCTAAACCTGCCCGGGGCAGGTTTCTCCTTGAGAAAAATGCAATACCCAAGGGACCTCCATTTCTTTTCACATCAAGGTCACCTGCCGGGTCCCCAGCATCCATGGGATCACTCAGCCAGCACCCACGCGAAAACTTGGAGCGACGCCGCGGGGTGTTTTTTCAGGTCTCGTGGCGCAAGGTACTCACCCTGTACTTGCTGATGTTATGCCTCTCAACGCAGGCACCCTTCAGGCAGAATCTCCCCTCGCCGCAGCCGGTGCCGTCCGCCCAGGGGAAGTGCCGGGTCTGGCAGACGATCTGCCCACGCGCCTTGCCCGTGCACCAGAGCTTGGCGCAGTACTGCATGTACGGGCAGGGCTTGGAGCCCACGCCGAAGGCCAGCTCGCATTGCTGGTTCAGGCTGTAGCTTGTCCCCGGCAGGTCTTCGGGCAGCGGGATGGGTTTGGCCGGCTGGTCCAGCAAGCAGTCTCCTGCGGGAGCGAGGATGGGATCTACTGGGTCCTTGGGGGGGTTGGAGGGACCAGTGGGGGGAGGGAGAGCATCGCTGCAGGGAGGTGAGGGGTGGCTGCTGGTAATTTGGCCAAAGCTATCCCAGCCGCACGCTGCCAGCGGGACTTGGTGCTACCCCAGGGATGCCCTCGAGGTCGGCTGCATCCCAGACCCGCGGGACTGCATCCCTTGGTGACACAGATGTCACTGCCCTTGGTGGGCAGGTGTCACTGCTGAGGGCACCAAGGAAGCCCAGGCAGTGCAGAAATGCTACCAAACTCCCCATTTCCTTTTAAATTTGTTTGCAGAAGGGGGAGAAGAGTTGCTCCACAGCCCATCAGCCTCTTCCAGTAACCATCCCCAGGGACGGATCCTGCTCCCACGGGACAATGCCCCAGGTAAGAGGGTGCGGGAGGGCTCACCGTGGCCGCTGTCAAGGAAGTCGGTGATGATGGCAGCGCTGCAGGCAGAGCAGGGGTTGGCCCGGTCGATCTGGATGAGGGTGGGGGACATCATGTGGTTGGTCTTCAGCCGGCCGAAGACCTCCTCGCAGGCCTTCACGTTGTCGTGGGGCATGTTGAAGACGTGGCCTGGGAGGGGGACAAGGGGGAGGCAGCGTGAATAACGTGGCTCGGCAGGCAGATCAGGGCCCTCACGGCTTCTTGCAATGGGGGAAACTGAGGCACAGACTCCCGAATCCTGGAAACCCATTGTGGTGGCAACCACAACAGCAAAACCTTTTTGGTTTCTCAGGGTCTTTTTCCCACCGGGCTCGGGGAGGGTCTCGTGCCCCAGGGTGGAGTTTCCCCATCACTGGATACTGGTTATTGTCTGCTCTTCCGGAGGGTGAAATCAGGGTTATTTTAAACCTGGCCAGACCCTGGCATTCCTCCCGAGAGGAAGAGGAGAGCGGGGAGCCTTACCCAGCTCGTGAGCGGTGGTGAAAGCCGAGGGCAGCCCGTCGTCCTCGATGACGGAGCAGCTGCGCTTGGGGTCACACATGGTGCCCACGTCCGCCATCCCCAGCGTGTCACAGGTGGTGGCACCGCACAGGTCCTACGAGGCACGGAGGCAAGGGGTTAGTCCCCGGGCCAGCACGGGCATCGCGGGTCCCCATGCCCACCCCATCCCTGGCACTCCACAGGGAGCTGATCCCAGGCTTCTGGGGGGAGGCAGCCCGAGGGACGGGGACCACACCAGGATGCAGAGGCTGGAAACCTCACCCTGCCCCGGACTGGGCAATATAAGTTTGCATTTAACCCTGCCACTGAGGATGCTTTTTGCACGTAGCATCCTCCCATGCCTTCAGCGACAGCTTTTCCCACCCAAACAGCTCCTCTGGCCAGGGAGGAGCTGGTTTCGGCACGGAGGAGCCAGCCTGGCTCCAGTTCTTCAGCCCGAGCTCGAGGACTGGACCCAGGCAGGTGAACTGGAAGGCACCTGGCCTTGGGCTCGCAGCCGACCCGTTTCTCAGCCTCATTTCTCAACTTCTTCCTAGGAACCAGAAGCCCCTGGACCAGGTCTAGAGGTTCCCAAGGTTAAGGTAAGTGCTCTTGTCTCTCCAAGACACTCTACAGCCGTCCCTTGAGGAGCAACCAAGCCCAGCTTGAAGGTGGAACCAGCCCAGCCTTCCACCCCCAGCCTGAGGATGGCCAGATCCCACGTAGATGCCGCCAGGACAGAGGACAGGAAGGGTCCCATCGTAGGTGGATCTGCCCTTCTTTGGGCTCCAAAGGCCCTCATGCAAAGAAAAAGTCCCTGCTTGAAGATGCACCGCTGCTGCAGCCTGGCAACAGCCTTGTCCTCAGACGCTCCCTTCCCCTGCTGGGATGTCTCGGTGGCGTGGGAGGGCTGGGAGCATGGTTCCCATCCCTCGGTGCCGTCCCGGCCGAGCGTGCAGGGGGCAGGGAGCAGCTTTCCACATGAAAAGAAAACTCCAGGGCCTCGCCGGGCGCTCCCAGGCTATAAATAAGCGTGATTCATGCTCAGCGCTCGCCCAGCCAAAGCGCCTGGGTTGCTCGAAACCTTGCGTGAGCGGCTCTGCCAACATTTCCAGCCAGGCTTCCAAGCCGAAGGCATTCCCGCGCCGGCAGGGTTGGGCA